TTTATACCAAAAAATACAACAAACATAACAACAACAAAGCCGTATTCCTACTACGTGAGGTCGGTTACATGAATCCTTTTTCTCCATTGCGTCCTATTTAGTGTGATATTTTCATTTAATTCTAATAAATTAAGATCATTTTTAATACAATAAGCTCAAGTCTTCCTAGGTCTACCTCTGCCTTTCTTAACATAAGTCGAATCTAAAACATCTACTCTCCTAATCGGATCATCAGATGGTCGAAGTTTAATGTGACCAAACCATATAAGACTACTCTCTCTAATTTTGTCTGTCACTGGAGCTACACCAACCCTGCCCCGGATATATTCATTTCGCATTTTGTCTCTAAGTGTAAATCCACTCATTCACCTAATCATTCTCATCTTGACAACACTTAACTTAGTATTATGCTTCTCTTTTAAAGGCCAACATTTAGCGCCATAGAGCATTGCAGGTCTCACCACCCTCTTATAAAATTTTCCTTTCAATCTAAGCGGTACTTTTCTATCACAGAAAAGGCCTGAAGCATTCCTTCATTTCAACCAACCAACTTGAATCCTACTATTAACATCCCCATCTATATCACAATCGCTTTGAACAACAGGCCCGAGCTATCTAAATCGCTCACCCCTTTTAATAATTTGATCTCCCAAATTTACACTTCTATCATTAATCATTAGAGCTAATACTGCTAAAATTATATTCCATGCATTCAGTTTTAGTTCTACTCAAATGAAGGCCTTTAGACTCCAATGTAGACCTCCATAATTCAAGTTTTTCCTGGGTTTTTTCTCTCGTCTTATCCACGAGAAGGATATCATCAGCAAAAAAACATTCACTAAGGTACATCCTCTTGTAAATGTCCAGTAAGACCATCCATAACTAAAGCAAAAAAATATGGACTTAAAGCCGATCCCTGATGTATCCAACAGAAATAGGAATTTATTTGGTCAATCCTCCTTCAGTTCGAGCACAAGTAACAGCTCTAGTATACATATCTTTAATGACTTAAATATAAGTCATATCAACACCTTTCTTCTCAAGAACGCTCCAAAGGACATCTCTTCTAGAGACTACTGCTTGTTTCTTATTCGTCCATGTGACAAGATTTCTTCAGACATAAGAACAATACTTGAGGGTGAATTTTCTGTGTGAGTTCTCATGCCCAGCTAGCATTTGTGTAAACTTTTACCTCTTTGTAGTCAAATTTCTTAAACAATAATCCTCTCTAAGGTGTCTTCTTAAGAAACACCAATATTCCGTAAACTATCTCCAAATATTCTTCATTTGGACAATTTATCTGTTGACTCAGTATGCTGACATAGTAGATGAAATTAGTTATATTGTCTGACAAATAGATAAGCTTATTCGTCAATTTCTGATATCTACTTTTTTTCCATTGGTGCCTTTTCTACCACTGACTGAAAAATTTTGTTGAAATTCATAGGAGTCACATCATGTTTGCACCACAAATTTCCTGTTTTTTTAATAGGTTTAGGTTGTAATTTCTTTGAGATATCACAATTTCCATCTTGGGACCGGCTACTTCCATGCCTAGAGAGTATTTCATTGCTCCTAGTCCTTAATTTCAAATTTTGTAGCAAGAACCTCTTTAATTTTCTCAATATATTTTTCGTTATCACATGTCAAGATTATATCTACATAACCAATGGGTATTTTTTTTTATTACCTCCCTGTATATGCTTTATGAACAGTGTATGATCTGCTTGACAGTGGATGTACCCATTAGGTTTCAGTCTTCACAAACTTGTCAAACCAAGCCTTTGTAGATTGTTTGAGGCCATAAAATGTCTTTTTTAGTTTACAAACCTGATGTTTATTTGAGTTATTTTCCCAATTCTCGTTGGATATATATATCTTCCTCAATGTCTCTGCTCAGAAATGCATTTTTAAGATCAAGTTGATGCAGCTCCCACTTTTTTATTCACTGCTAAGTAAAGAATAATTCTTAAAGTGTTTAATTTGATCACTGGAGCAAAGGTCTCTTTATAGTCTTATCTCATAAGACTGTGAATTTTTTTGCCACCAACCTAGACTTGAGTCTTTCAATGCTCTCATCCGCTTTGTACTTGACATTAAACAACCATTTAAATCCAATGAGTATTTTATCTGAAGAAAGCTTTGTAAGGGTCCATGGGCCTTTTAGATTAAGTGCTTGAATCTCTTCTTCAACCACCTTTTTTAATTTTTGTACTTTGAAGTGACTTTATGAAAAAATATTGGTATTTGCATACTATCAATATTAGATATAAAGATTTTATAAGTTGATAGCTTCCAATAGACGACATAATCCGAGATAAGATAATTTGTGGAATTTTTCCCGTCTTCTCCATTGGATTCCACCTCTCTTGAACTTTCATAGATGTGTGAATTCAGGATTAACTGTGAACAGTCTTTTGGTTGCATGTTGTTTTTTTCCTGATCAGTGGATTTTTATCTCATAGTATACACACGAAATTCCTTGTTGTCAATCTCAGGTTAGATGTTTTCAACTGACGGAACTTTGGAGACATGATGATTAGAGAGAAGGAGAGTATGTTGTGATTACTCTAAATCAGTGTGAGTATCTAGAGTAGTGTCCAAAGTGTAATATTCACCTAGACTCCTCCCCTGAATATCAGATTTAGGGTAGTAGGGTTGATTTTCAAAGAAGGTAATGTCCATGGAGTTATAGTATTTTTTTTATATTGGAAGAATAACAATTGTATCTATTTTTGTTATAAGCATACCCAACGAAGGCACATTTGATGAATTTTGGATCAATATTTGTGTGGTTTGGTTGATGAATGTGAACAAAAAAGACATTCAAATATTTTGAGAGGAATATTGGATGAAAAGACTTTGACATGAGGGTAATTTTTCATCATAATATTAAGCGGCTTTGAATCCTAGCAACCCTGCTTGATATTTTATTAATGAGGTAGGTGGCTGAAAGCATACCATCTCCCTAGAAAACTTTTGAGATATTGTGAGAAAGCATTATAGACCTAGATACATTGAGGAAATGTCTATTCTTCCTCTCAGCTATCCCATTTTATTGTAAACTTTCAACACAAGAACTCACATGGATGATACGATTTTTTGTAAGGTAGGATACAATGATAGAGTTAAAGTATTCATTTGCATTAGTTTTGAGAAATGAAATTTTGGATTAGAACTTGGTGAAAATTATATTATGGAATGACTGAAAGGTTTGTGCAGTTTCAGATTTTTCTTTCACGAGGAATGTCCGATTGATTTTAATGTGTTCATCAATAAAGAAGACAAATCATCTGACACTATTGATGGTTTTCAATTTTGATGGTCCTCAAATGTCACTATGGATAATAGAGAAATGATGTGAGGGTTCGTACTAGAACAAATGATAGTCATAACAAATATGTTTTGTTAATTGACAGGTTTTACTTTGATAAAATTTTGACTTTTTTATTAATAAAGAGATGAGGGCACAACTTTGCAACTTAATAAAAATTGGAATGATCTAGATGACAATGTCATAGTAAAATTTAACTTTCAATAGAACCAGAGACTTGGGAACATGAGAAGAAAAAGTAGAGTAGGCACTTGTGTTTTAAGAGATTAGCTTTCCTTGAGCAACTATAGACCTTGATGCAGTACTGTCTGTCACCTTCCCTGAATCCACCACCTAAAATGCACTAAATTTAGAATGGAATTTAGTAACACAGTTCAAGTCATTAGTAAGCTTGCTAATTGAAAATAAGTTGCAAGCTAATTGAGAAAGATATAACACGGAAGAGAGTTGAATATCTTTGGAGAAGTTCACTTCTTCTTTCCCAACAATCATAGAGTGAAATTTATCGGCAAGTCTAACAACTTCGGAGTCGATGAACTTTTGGTAGTTGGTGAATATCTCCAGTCTTGTACTCCGAAACATTGAAACTATTAACCAAGCTCGAAATCTTTCATCGTTAGCAAGACAGGAGAACATGATATCTCGGTGCATAATCAAGTTGGTATGCTGCTTAGTTGTGCTCAAAAGAAGTTTCTTCAATACCGTCAGTTGTTCCTTGGTGAGGGGCTAGGGTCGACTAAAGCTTCGGATGAGATAGGAGCATGGGCCTTGCTAACTTGGCCTTTCCTCCCTTGTCCATGTTTCTAATATGCAGGTTTTCCATATATTTTCCGGCACTTGTCCTTTATGTGATCAAGTTTCTTACAATCTTCACACAAGGTGAAATTTTTTTTGGCTTTGACTCATTGAATTATTTGTATGCGTACAAGGCAGAGCTTTTAGTGCTAGATAAATTCATACTTCCTGCTATCATGAGCTTCTTCCTATGTTCCTTTCTTCTGGCTTCATCCCTAGTGGTAGGGATAGGCTTAATCCTTATAATTCTTCTTTTGACCTCATCAAAGTTTTTATTTAGACCTAACTTGATAATCCTTTTTTTCTCCACTATTGTTTTATACAATATAGCACTTTGAGGATACTTACATATATTAGTCTCATACATATCTAATTGTAACCACTATTTTGTGGGTGTGTTGAAATATTGAGTCACACTTAACTCTTTTTGTCAGAGCTCATGCAGTTTTATCTCAGTATCAAATAATTTTGTAGTGTTTTTGGTATCAGAGTAAGTCTCATATATTGTTTCCCAAATCTCCTATGTTGCCTTATAAAACAAGAAATTTTCTCGTATCCCTATAGTCATAGAATTGATCAACCAAGATATGATCATTTGATCCTTGATCTTCCATGAGCGATGGTTATGATTAGTGAATTCAGGAACTGTGTCACCTTTCTTGAGATATTCCTCTTTTACTTTTCTAGAAATACACTTAAATACGGATTGGGACCATTGAAGGAAGTTATGGCAAATGAGTTTATGATTTGTGATAAAGTGATAATTCCGGGTTGTTTGAGTAGAATTCTTGGTCTCTGATTCTAAACAAACCTCCAGTGTAGAGTTAGTCATCTTCATGCCTACCTTGTAACAAGTCCTTTGCACGTTTAGGGTTGGAAAATTTTCTTGGCTGATTATGTTGTAGGAGAGGAGGAATGCCCGCGGTTGCTCTGCTTGCTCAGGAAGGATCAGCTGGTTTGCTTGCGGGAAGCCATGGAGGAACGTCTGGAAGGTTGGCTAATATTTGCAACTGAGGGAATGCCTGTAGGGTGCGGCTGCTCAGGTGGAAGACAGCGGAAGCCTGTAGGGAAGCATACAGGAACGTCTGCAGGAAATGCCTGGTGGACAACAAAAGCCTGCGGGGAATTTCTGCAGGGAAGCTGGCAGCTGTATGGAGAGATCCGACAAGGTAGTAGGAACCGGGGAGGGCCTGTGGGCTGGCTGGCGGCTGCAGGGAGGATTCCGGTGGCTGAAAAAAGAGATCTAGGGTTTCTAACCTAGCTCTGATACCATGAAGATAGATGGAGAAAATTATATTTTTTCTTTCTTAATGTTCAAATTAGGACTCTTCTCCTTATATAATAAGTAAATAATAGGGCAAATTTAATTTCTAGTATTACAACTTACCAAAGACACAACAATCAACAAAATAAAAGAAATACAATATAATAGTAAAGGAATAAACAAGAATAAATCTCAAATTTGATACTCAGAATTCTACACCCGGAAAAGCGAGTAGCCTGTAGAAAGGTTTTTAGAGAATGCTGAAAGTTTACAAGGCACTGCAGTTCTTGCTTCCAGAAAATGTTTTAAAGGAGCTTCTTAAAAAAAAATACTTTTTATTCTTATCATCACTAGCCTTTAGTTCGATTTGATTTATTGCTGGGGAACATTTGATTGTGTTGGAGGCGGGACTGAATTTCCGGCTGTTTTGTTTTTCTTTTCCGGACTGGAACTGCAGTCTTATGAAAGGTTATGATCAATCAAGTTTACACTAATAAGTTACTGTTAAGGATCAATTCATTGACACTAAACCCTTTCTTGAATCAGGAACTCAGCCTACATCAGTTTTTCTGTTTTCCAATTAAATTAGTTCAGTTTAATTTTATTTATCTTGAATAGATAGCTACCTAAGGGTGTAGGGAGGTCACATATAATCTCTACAGCCACAGCTTCCTTCATCTTGGGCAGAACACAGCGTATGAATATTTGCACCGACTGCCTAGTTCAAGAGACTATAAAGCGTCTGCAGAAGCTTATTTTGAGGGTGTATATATTGATCCTTGTACTCCGAAAGGTTATTGGTTTGGTGCGGAACAACCAAAGCTCAATGCTTATGCACTTAATGCGAACATAGATTACAACAGGCTCCCTCATGCATTTGGCAACTTTTCTGAATGTCGATTGGCTGCATTGATGTTATTACGGAAGGAAAAAGGTATCAGTTATGCTCCTTAGAGTTTAATCGGCAATCACTGCTGCTGATTTTCTGTATTTGTAAACTTTTACTTGGTTATGATTCATATTTTACGCTATTTAAGCACATCTATTTTTTTTTAATTGAGCTGCATCCCATTTTGAATGTGATGAGCTTTAAAATCTTATTAAATTTGATTATTTATGTATTTTATCTAGTACTGATTTAATCTAATCTTTACTGTCGGCCGCTATTTTTGAAAAGGAATGATTTTTGTAAAATATGAAAATAGTTTTGATGTAAATATGATTTTTGAAAGTAACATTTTAATTTAAAAATAGATGAGACCAAACGAGTCTCACTTTTTGAATATTTTGGATGGCTGAGCGCGATACCACAAGTAATACACTATCCCAAAGGATGAGCATACCACTTGACAGTAAGCTCAACCATATAAACTAAATAGTTTATGACATCCGTTTGGTCTGCTAATCCTTTTTATGTGTGACCGACAAGTTCTCCTATCTAATATAAAGATTAGATAGGGTTTATTTTACCTGGGTTTCAAGTTCCCTATAGAGGCAAGCTCCTATAGTTAATTACATCTTAAATGACCGGGTTCACTTAATAAAACTCTTGATTAAGATCAATGGTTTTGCCTTCCAGGTTTCAAAGTTTAGGTTCCCACACGGGAAAATCAAATGAGAGTGGCTCAAATAGGAACAATTATTTTAAGGAATCCAAAGGAATGAAGAGTGGGGGATATTACAGATCTAAGGGAAACTCTGGTGATTTCCTAACTATACTTTTGTTTGGCTTTGTCTTTGAAATAATGTTATTTAATGTTTAATCCTGTAATTTATTTTAAAATTTAGGACTTACATTCACACGATATCTGATCGTGCAAATAGCCTAGAAAGATAGGAGGATTTACACTGTACCGTACGGTAACATCGGAATCCTAAAACTGTTAGGACTTGTAATTGCACAACAGGGTTGTGCAAAAGTCTAAAAATAATATGTGATGATTCACGTTGTGTTAAGCAAACTACCTCGAAGTTTTATGGGTTATTTAAACTAAGAAAAATGTTTAGTTGTCGTAGACATATTGTACTGTTGTAGATCGTCATCCTCCGTCTGCTACATCCTGGTCGTGCTGCCCACGAAGACTTGCTCCATGTCCCATGTAGTTGTAGTTTCGAGTTTAGTGTCTTATATATGAATGTGCAGTATTGTTATTTGGTGACTTACTGTTGTATATCTCCTAAACCAGGCTATATCCAAAAGGTTTTGTAGTTAATTTAAAGCATACATAAACAAATTATGTTATAAGGAAGAACAGTAAATGAAAACAGTATAAAGTGTTGTAAATAAAAGCAGTATAAGAAAATGCAGTAAAGTGCTATAAATGTATTATAAATTTTGGGTATCTGATTTTTCTTGTTATTGCTGCACCTGTGAATGGAATCAACGTCGTATGTAACAGTATAGTAGAGAAATTCAACTAGCAGGACAAACATGTGTTTATGTACAACAGAATAAATGATGAAGCAGCACATGGAAAACTCTGAGGAAAACTGAAATCGACCCACAAAAATTCGTAATAAATTATAGGAAAAAGAAAAACAAATAAAACAAAACACAATGTCACATATAAAGGACCAAGGGGGGTAGAAAAGGGTGGTAGATTTATATGTGACATTGGGGATGTTCCCAATTGCCAGGAGGATTTGAGTGTAAAGCTCAAGCTCAAATCCCGGAGCATTGGGTTTCATTTTAGGTCAAGTTATAAAGAAAATTTTATTATTTGATTTAATTAAATCAGTTATTAACCACAACCTAGTGCATACCCTGTCTATTGCTTTAACTAACTTGTGAATTAGAGTCGTGCCAAGTTTCAGTGCCTATTTGAAAATTAGGTAGATGAAGTCTCACATAGGGTGTGCACCTAAAATCTAGGAGGCCTACACTTTAACTTAAACTTGAAGTGTTTTAAAGTATTTATCTTCAATTAACTGTTTTCCAACTACTCCTCGAACATCTTTAGATCAAACTTAGTTCTCTATCAGGCTCTTAAGACCTAGAAGGTAAACCTATAATTTTGGCAAAAATGTTCGTGAAATGTGCTTCAATCATAATTAAAATAATTGAACTTAAGTTTATCCAATGTTTAAGGGTTCTAATTGATAGTCTATTTATCTCTCAATTCATGTCTCTAACTCTTGAATCATTTAATTTCTTATTTTCTCCCATATCTCAATAATTCTCACAATTATAATTTTATCCTTCTTATGTAAAAGAAATAGTGAATGGTTACCCTATTTCCCTTTTAGGTTTCAATCATCTCAACAGACTAAGTATCAATTTTTTTTATTCCCTTCATTTTTTTATTTTAAGGCCGTAAATCAATCATGAAAATAATTAAATCGGAAATTTCATTTTTAACTTAACCGTTATAAATGTTGTAAAAAAATCAACAAAAAAAGGGAGGCCAACCCACTTCTAAAAATCAAATCAACTAAGCAAGGGGCAAAATCCCAAGTGAATCGGCCTAAAGGCGTTTAAATTCTTTCAAAACAAAAATCAAATTAACCCCCAAAAAATGTGCGTAAATGCCTAAAAAATTTAACACTTAAAAATATCCAAATCGATGTATAAAAGCCTCAAAATGCAACTTAAACCTTAACGAATAAGGTCTCAAAATGCAACTTAAACTTTAACGAATAAAGCTTCAAAATGCAATTTAAACCTCACTAAAGAGGGCCTCAAGTGCAGCCTAATCATGCTTCAAAACAATGCTCAAATGCTGCTCCAAAGCAGCACCAAAGTGTTTCAAAATCTTGTATCAATCGCTTCCAAATTAGCCCAAGTTCAACATGAATCCACGCATAAGCTCTAACAGGTGCAGTACCAACACTTACTATTGATCAAATGTAGCATAACATATATGTTTCCAAAGCTTATCCATATCGAACTACAAAAGACGTGATTGAGTTTCCCAAGTGCACTCATATGAAATATGATTGAAGGGCAAACATTAAAATTCATTGCATAACTAATGGAGGAAGCCATTGAAATGAATTTGTTTCTCGTAAGTATAAAAGATAAAGCTTCGATGTCAAATACTGCAAACAAATAGGAATTCAATAGCCTTTGAACCCCTCCAAAAGCAAACTTGTATTTCTTCCAAAAATCAGCAAGTTGGGGAGCGAAGAAAAGCTCTTGAACCTATTCCAAGCCAACAATAGTGGATATCACATAACATTTCATAGGCGTCTCTTCCATAACTTAAGAAAGGAAAAGCAAACAAGTAAAAAAAAATGGCCACCACCATACCACGCATGCGCAACATTTCATATTTAAGGGACCAAACTTCCCAAATAGAACATAGATACTTTTAGATATTCGTAAAAGTAAGGCATCAAAGCTTTCGGATTTTTGCAAGTAACAAAACTATAGTTTTCAGATTTTTGTAAAAGACACACCTACAACTTTCAGATTTTGCAAATAATATACATAGAACTTTCAGATTTTCAAAAGCAAGGCTCCCAAAATTTTCCAATCATTTGCAAATATAACATATAAACTTTCTGATTTTTGTGAAAGTGAAGCATTGCAACTTTTCAAGCTTGCCAAAATGTAAACTATCATGCTTTAAAATTATTCAACTAAGGAGCAAGTAGAGACCAAAGGAAAGCTCTTAAATGTTTCAGATTTTGCGAATACGCCACTTAAATATTTTAGATTTTGCAAATGTGCCACCCAAATGTTTTGGATTTTGCAAATGTGCCACCCAAATATTTCAGATTTTGCAAATATGTCACCCAACTGTTTCAGATTTTACAAATACACCACTCAAATATTTCAGATTTTGCAAATATGTCACCCAAATGTTTCAGATTTTGCAAATACCCCACCCAAATATTTCATATTTTGCAAATAAAACACCCAAAGTCTCAAATATTCAAAACTCTCAAGCTTTTATAAGGAAAGCACGGGAATTTACACGCATACAACTTGATTCTTCTGTATTTATATGACTAATGCTCACATGGACACCACCCAAGTCTTTAGCTTGCATCAAAAGTACTCTTATTTTGACTTAACAAAGTGGAATACACCTCTCAAATATAGACAACGATATAGGCAACGTGGCATATATATAAAATTGCAGCTCAGGTGTGCATAAACATCGCCAGACAAGAAATCATCAGAGCATAATTCCGCCAGCCACATTTTTCTAGATTATGAACCGTAAATGATAAAAAACTGCTTAATGATCTTGACATTCAAGTGAGATTTGCAGTAAGATTCAAATATCAAAGATGTTTTCAAATATCAAAAATGCAATACCAAACGCCGCGGATTAGAAAGATCAACATCGCCAGACAAGAAATCATCAGAGCATAATTCCGCCAGCCACATTTTTCTAGATAGCAAGCAAGTGAGATTTGCAGTAAGATTCAAATATCAAAGATGTTTTCAAATATCAAAAATGCAATACCAAACGCCGCGGATTAGAAAGATCAACATCGCCAGACAAGAAATCATCAGAGCATAATTCCGCCAGCCACATTTTTCTAGATTATGAACCGTAAATGATAAAAAACTGCTTAATGATCTTGACATTCAAGTGAGATTTGCAGTAAGATTCAAATATCAAAGATGTTTTCAAATATCAAAAATGCAATACCAAACGCCGCGGATTAGAAAAATCAACATCGCCAGCCACATTTTTATAGATTATGATCTTGACATTCAAGTGAGATTTGCAGTAAGATTCAAATGTCAAAGATGTTTTCAAATATCAAAAATGCAATACCAAACGCCGCGGATTAGAAAGATCAACATGGCCAGACAAGAAATCATCAGAGCATAATTCCCCTAGCCACATTTTTATAGATTATGAACCGTAAATGATAAAAATTGCTTAATGATCTTGACATTCAAGTGAGATTTGCTGTAAGATTCAAAATCAAAGATGTTTCAAACTTTTAATATCCTCAGACATTCTTTTTTTTATATGGAGAGTGTATGAACTACAAACGAATGCTTCTTGATGCCTTTTAAAGATGCCTTTTAAAATTTCAGTGTAAGCATTTCAGAAAATCCTTGATCATTTCTTCCACTAAAAAAAATGAATGCAGGTTTTCAATATCTTTGATGATACTCGATATTTCTGGGTTTCCAGTTTCAACAAAAAAATGTTGAATAGCTTTAGAAAATTTAAAAGATAAAATATAATCTCCCACGAATATGAAATATTCTTCTGAAGGAATAGATTGTCAGATCACATAATAAATCATGCATCTTATAATATATTTTCTCTCCTTTTTTTTTTTAGTCAAGAGAATTATTAAGACCAAATCAAGGACAGTCGGGCAAGCAAACGAGCAAACCAACAAGAATGTAATACCTCGGTAGCTAAATATGCAATCACACGGGAATATCGAGTCAATCAAGCAAAAATATTGAGCAGTCCAGAAAGAATGTCGGCAGCCAAGGAGTAATGCCATGCAACTGAGCAGGAAATTCACGCAAGCTAAGATTTTGGCAGCACCTCCACCCTCCTTTTGAATTTTCGGTCACCCCCAAAGACCTCCCCAAGGTAGGGTTTTATAACCAAAAGAGAGAGGAGCAACCACCTACTAGCCCTAATGGTGGCCGAATAGGATGGGGGGAGAGGAGGAGAAGCATTTAGGGGGAAAGAGAAGTAGGCCTGAAGAAGACGAAGGGTCGGCCAGGTGAAGTGTCGTCGTTGGATAGCCGCTCGGTCGAGCGGCCTGCGAAGAAGAGGAAGAGTCGAACGATGGGGAGCTCACGATCGAACCAGGAGACGTGCTAGTTAGGGTTCTGCTCAGGTGAAGCCGATCGCGGGAGAGGAGAAGGCGATCGTGCTGCAGGACCGAGCGAGAAGAGGGATCGGGGTCTGTTAGGCCGTGCGTGACAGAGGAGTGTACCTGGGCTGCGAGTCTGCGTGCGTGAGTGGGATTAAGTAGGGTCTTTTTATTATTATTATTATTATTTATATTATTATGGTAATATTTGAAAATCTTGATTTGTGCGTTTTCGCTTGTGCATGAAATCATAGCAAATTAGATGTCTTTTCTAGGTAATTTCGACATTTCGGGAGCGCCGGCGCGGTTCGTTTCGTCATCCGGTGTCATTTTGATATATTTATCGATTTGCGTGCGATTTGCATGTGTGCGGAATTATGACAATATGAGTGTCCTCCCTAGCTAAAATTGACGTCTCGGACACGCCGACCCAGTCTATTTCGTCATTAGAGGTCGCCTGGACAAGTTCACATTTAAGTTCAATTTTAGTCTGACTTTGCGCAACTTAGTGGATGTTGTGTATTTTGTGTGTGTGAGTGCGTTGATAAAGCCATAAAGGGGTTTCCCTAGGGCTTGAGATCCTATTAAGAACTTCTCTTTGATTTCCCACATGTTGGTCCTTAACCACTCGACCAAAAGATGATGTTTGAGACCACCCAGGCGAGACATCGCAAGAGAAACGGAAAGTGGTTCGAATTTCTAAAAAGGGATGGGTCCCAGCTCTAGTACTCTAAGATAGTCGATAGGAAGCCTTAGAGCTAGATCCTATAATCTAAGTAGAGGAGAAATGACCTCAAAATGAGGTCAACATTTACATCATATCATAACGATTGAGAAATATAATCTTGTAATTGTGCGTATGATTGAGATATTAAAGCAATAATTGAACATAAACCTATTTATATCGTAGCTCACTTAATAGAATCAAATAGTTATGAAAAAGAGACAAGTCAAATTGTGTAATGATTTATTCAATGAATCCTTCATTTTTAACTTGTACTTATCCTTTTACAATTGAATTGGAATAAACAAATTCGAACATCAAATTAGTGATTTAATAAATCACTAAGCAGCTATCAAGTGATCTCATTTGGCTGTTTGTTGAAAGACCAACTGAGCCTCTTAGCAAATATAAATGGTTAAGGAGGCCATTCTGCAGATCAATTCATTCATATCTAACACTTCCTAAATCATATAAAACCTTTTTCACATGTCTAATTAAACAAGCTAAAATAACCTTGAGAGCAAAGTTGTTTGAGCAAGTTTTTTTATTTTTTTGTGGCACTAAATGTCCCTTTGGTGAAATGCTAACAAGTCCGCTTTTTCCCTTCCTAATATTTATTCCGGTTTTACTTTTGCATTCAATTTAGTGTTTATTACTTGATGCACTATTATCGTATTATCAACTTTTTTTGGTTGCTCAATATTGAAATTTTGTTGTGCACTCTTATGGTGTTATTAAAGTTTTCTTGGTTGCTCAACGATTAATTAATATTTTATTTTGCTATTAGTCTTTAAGGGTTAGGATATCAACTAATTAGGTAAGTCTTCGTTAAACCATCAAATGCCTACTTCGGTTCCTTCATAGATAAATTATGCACCCTTTGTTATATAACAAAATCATTTTTTTAAATAGGTTCTAAGCAAGTGTTTAACAGTGAGATTTTAAATCTTGTGGCTGAGAATTTTGTGATGTCCTGGGCTTTTGATCCCTATAAAATGTCACTTGCGATTCCTCTTAAGTTTGTGAAACACACACCAATACAAAAATCATATATTAATTTGTTATTATCAAGGAAATTGTTATTTTGAAATAATCTTTTGATGATGAAGTTGACGTCGAAGAAGTTTTATGATTATGATATGGTTTTGCGTCTCCTTTTATTGATTAAAAATCCATACTTCTTTTATGTGTTCCTGAATGTGAGCATATAGTTAAATGAGTTAAAATTTGAATATAAGATCATTTATGTACCTAAGCTTATGGAAAATGAGCAACCCATGAGCACATTTTCTTTTGATGTATAAATCTACCTGTTATTGATTTGGTTTTTTTTTTTTCATAATTTTTTTAGCTACAACTATATAAAAAAAAGTTTATGAAGAATCTCAAGTTGCATCAATATTTCAAAAGAAATTTTTAAATGTTTTTCTGCGAAAAAACATGAAAGTTATTATGCTAAAGCTTTGGTTGTTTAGGTTAGTAACTTTTTTTAAAGGTTTTGCCAATATGATAAATGCATCATAATTATGTGATTTTTTTCTTGGTTATCAAAATAGTGATACCTAATAAACACTAATTCGAAGGTTTATTCATCATGTTCACCATAGGAGTTAGGTATAGTGTATTCATTATGAAGCATTTTATCATTATCAGCGCATGTATCGTCTTATTAAATTTAAGGGGTTTACATGCATACCACCCAATTCCTATGTATTTACATATCTAAGACCTAAAATTTGTTTTTAACATTTATGCCATTCAAATCTTTCGTATTAAATAAAGAATACCGTCATTTTAACTTTTAAAAGGTGAAATACAACTTTTCATGCATATAGGTAATTGGTAAGTATGCAAAAATTGAAGTTAGGTGTTAGATATATAAATGCATAGGAATTGATTTATATTTATGTAATTCTTCTTAAATTATATTATTCATTTTGCATGATTTGCATGAATTTATATTTTGTAATTCTTCCTAAATTATATTATTCATTTTGCATGATTTGCATGAAAATATTAGTTGAAAATTTTCCTTAATAATGATGATTATAAGTTTACTAAAGATATAAATTGGAGATTTTCTGGATTTTCTACATTTGTTATTATTAAAAAAATTAATTGCTAGAAAAATATAGGTAAATTGTTTCAATGATTGGGATGCATGCTTACAAGGTAAAATCTTTGAAATTTATGATATTATCTAGTCTTTGCTAGTTTTCATTTGACTTTAAATTATTAACTGTCAACTACGTTTTAAATTTTTGTTTCTTCTTTACCTCCTTCAGATTTCATTCAACGCCATTTGTATAGTTCTCAAAACTTTAACGCTATTCTTATTATTTAAAGGATTTTTTTTTAGATAAAATTATGTTTGTTACTAATGTTGAACACCAAAAATATTTTATAAAATGATAAGTTAGGTCTACAAGTGAAGAATTGTGGTTAGTGCAAGAATTCTGTTCAGGTTTGCTTGGCAAATTTTAATTGAACAGTTAGTTTATTAAGATTGTAATTTTTTAGCTGAGCAGGTTGATGCAGTCTTGGCCTTGTCCAACATATATAGCCTTCGTGATCTTGTTTGATACACTCTTGTAACAACTTTCATAGCGATCCTTTTACATTTTTCCACGCTTGATCCTGTTGTGGTTCTTTAGCCTCTTGCTGTAAACTTCTGTTGTGATCTCTTATCATTCCTTTTTTATTCTCGAATTTTAAAAATTGGCTTGATTTTTTTATTGAATTTGATCAATTTTGAGACAATTTGATTTTTAGTTGTAGCATGATTTTCAGCTTTAGAATGATTGTATATATCATGTTCCTTGACTTTGAAATAGTAGATGTATTTTTATTTGCTCTTTTCAGCTTTTAATCTATATAATTTGCATTTGGGGTTATTCATTCTTTGTTTTTCATTTATTTTAGCTGTAAATTGGTTGTTAAAAGATATAATATTTTTGTCCTTCTTTTCGGAATGGCTAAAACATATAGTAGTTTCCCTCATTTGCAGATAGATGCTCATATAAGAACTGCCACATCGGTTCAACTTTTGTTCCGAAGCTTCAAGGGAAACTCATAGCAACAGAGAATTTCTTCCATACATCAAAGGTTTGCATATGTTTCTTTCTGTGATCATTTGTTCTTATAAACGTTTTAATGAATTTTTCACTAACTTACTGCTATGAATTATTTTCAATAATATTTTACCGTTGCTACTTTACTCTGTTGTTGAAATCCTATTTCTTGAAATGGTTTGTGACGTTTTTTAACTGAAACCAACCTCTCCCTGGGATTTATTTTCCTAGAAGCTTACATCGTTTTTTTTTTTTTCTTTTCTTTTCTTTTTTTTTTACTTCATAGTTCTTTGGATTGGGTCCTTCATCATATCTTTCTGATTTGACGCTGGCTGGAGAACAATTCTGTGAAGAAGATTGGTCAAAACTGAGGAGAAAGTATCATGCCATAGAGGAGGAGGATTTGTTGCGGTACTGTTTCTCTTCAGCCTATATTGTGGCCCTGTTACATGACAGTCTTGGCATTGCCATGAATGACAGCGGGTAATGCTTTTATGTTGGATGTAAAAATATGATTTTTTTAGGAGTTAAAGCATATTAAACTAATGGATGGAAACTATCAACAAAAGTTTAAGCTAATGAGTAAGGGCCATTGCTAGTACAGGAGGAACTTCATTCTTAGGTCTTGTTTAGGATCAATTTTATTTTTTTTTGTTTTTGTTTTTGTTTTTTGTTTTTGTTTTTATATTTTCTTTTTTAAGAATATATTTGTTTGGTGTGTTTTTTGGCATAATTTATTTTTTTTATTTTTAAAAATAAATTTTTTTTTTAAAAGCATTCAAAATAACTTTAAAGTGTTCTGAGTACTATAAAGATAATTATATTTTAATTAAATAGTCAAACATGTTTTGTTTCAAATCACAACAAAAACAAAACGCAAAATAGAAAAAAAATTGATATGAAATGACCCCTTATTTTTTCTTTTAATGGGGGTTTATCTTTCACTATCATGTTTATCTCAACAACGCCCCCATTTTTTGGAATCCCTCCACACCAACCATCACATCTCTTAAATAAAAATTTTTGTACCAATAAGAAAAGAACCATTTAACCATGTGAAATTTGAATGAGATGCCTGCTTTTAGAACCTAATTTGCCTTCAAAGCTCATGAGATGGAAACATCAAAGCATATGGGAGACTTGATCCTAGTCGAACTTAATCGATGAATACTCTGAGTTAGACTAAGTACATTAAGGATGAACACGATCAACACAAAAAATTCTAATCCCCGCGGAAGGGCTACCAAAGTCTTAAGAAATCAACTTTAGTTTTAACTTCCACCTTGTAGGCTTGACTGTAGAACAAAACTCATTTATTACATTTCCTTTTTTGCAAATGTTGAAGTGATATCCACACAGAAAGGAACTTCAACGCTAGATCTCTTGCATTGGCTACCGCATCCAGCATCCAATTGTTGATAAAATAAAAAGGAATACAACTTATTATAGATTTATGATTCTAACCATGAATTAAGTCTCTCCTTCTGCGTTCAGGGTTGTATTTGCAAACCAAGTGGGACAAGTTTCACTAGACTGGGCGTTGGGTGCTTTTATAATGCAGACAACAGCTGAAGGTGCAAACCTTTCAAACTGGATTACTGTTAATATGAGGGCCATCCTGCCGCGATTACTTTCTATCTTGATATTCTTCTCTATTCTGGCATTCATAGGGTTTTCCCTATTGAAATGGCAGAAACCTGTACTTAAAAACTAAATTTGATATGGAGAAAAGGAGGTATTTCAATTTATCTATTTATCCATCGATGATTTTACTTGTACCATCTCACTACATTGGCACTCGACAACCAATGCTACCTTTTAATATTCATTATAGATTCTTTCAAACATGTGTTTCCAGTCGCCTGTCTTGTAGCAAACTTATATTTTGTAAGGTTTCGTTTCAGAATGATCTTCTGCTTGGCATATTATATTTTTAATGTGGTTTGTATGTATAGAGAAATTTTGTTCCTTCTGTTCAATGTATGTACAATTTCTTCTGCGGTGGAGATGGAATACAATGTATTATTATTATTATTATTTATTGTTGTTGTTGCTGACTATTATTATTATTATTTTATTTTATTTTTTGAGTAGAAAATGAAGTGAAATTTTAGTTCGTGTTTATAAAAATAAATAAATAAATAAAACTCTAGATTACGTCACCACAGTTCTAACTGTCGAAGAATATTTTCTATCCTTCTACATTTATCTATTTTGATAGTGCCCTTGGGCACTGTTGGGTTTGATGCTATCGTAACTATGCAGCTCATTTTCGGCTTAAAAAGTTGTTTACATGCATAAATTGTATGTTGCCGTCCTCAGCCTTAACAAATATTTATGTTTTGCATATGCTATATAGAGGGAGAGAGGGAGGGAAGTGATTGAAAATATAAAAAAAAATGCTCTTCTTCCTTTTGCATCACTGACTCTTCCATCTCCATTAATCCCAGTATGTAATATACACCTAGCACTCTTTTTAACGGCCTCTGATGTCAAAACAAAAGCTGTTACACAATTATTCAGTATGATTTTAACGCTTATGATTAACACAATAATGCTACAATGTTTCTTCTTTTTTAAACTTGAATATCTTAGCTTCCGATTCATCCTATGCTACAGCATGGTTAGATTACAAAAACATATAATTAAGAGGAAAAATATTTCCTGGATGCAAACATTATGAAACCAATCATAAATGCTAAACAAACCCAAGCAAGCTAATGACTAAAACTTGTTAAAATGGGAAACATCGAAAGTTCCTTGGAAGACATGCCAAGGAAAATTATTTGTGATTTGTGCTCCTTTAATACACGATTGCCTCTACTTTCTCATCCTGAAAAATGTTTTCCTCCGAATTCTTAGGCCATGTTTGGAATCTTTTTTTATTCTATATTTTTTTTTATTATTTTTTTAATCTGTTTTTAAACAAATGAGTTTTTGTTATTCAAAAACACAAAATAGAATAACCTGTTTTTTAATGTTAATGGGTGGTGATAATTATATTTTCTTGTTTTCGTTTTCTAAACATATTTTTTGTGTTTAATTTTTAAAAAATATAATAATTATAAGCGTTCCTAAACATGTGTGTTTTATGTTAAACTAAAAAACAAAACAAATTAAAAACAAAAACAGAACTCAAAAAACAAAAAATGATCCCAAACGATCCCTGAACTTGTTTATGAACTGAGTGACATTGATGATTGCCAATTCTTGTAGGATTGTTAGCCTCCAAAACTTTACAACACGTCAATAACCAACCATTTTTCTTCCTTAGTTACTTCTATCATTGAATGCTATAACATAACTATTCAGCATGATCTTAACACTTCAATTCACACACAACATTATTACAATATGTATTCTTTATTAAACATTTACAAGTGTTAGAATGATCATACTACGACATGGTTAGACTGCATAAACACTTATTCTGAAAACAAATACTTCATAGACGCAAACATTATGAAACCATAAACTGAAAAAAAAAACGCAAATGAAATCAAAACAAACTTGTGATTAATTCATGTTAGAAAAGAAGCCAGCAGAACTTTCTTGAGCTTTTTGCTTCATACTAATAAGAATCACTTGTGATTGTAACCTAGCAATAAATGATTGCTTCTCTAATCCTCTCATCTCGATCAATGACTGATGCTCTGCTATGAAATCCTAACTTAGTTGGGAACCGACATCGTTGAACACCAATTCTAGTACACTTATTAGCCTCAACAGCCTTGCAAAAGCTCAACAAACATCCTATTTTCTGCTTGAGGGACTTCAAACATTTGAGATTAAGCTCAGCCATCATCGGCAAACAATGATGATTACAAAGTGGAGGACTTTGAACATTTCTTGATGAAAGATAAACAAAGAGTAATAGAATTGAATTGAGAAGGCTCACGTGAAACAACTTATTTTAGTAGAATAGCATCCATGGGAAGCTCAGATAAAGTTTGTGAGTAGGAAGAGTTAGAAATTAGGTTTTTGGGATTTTTATGCCTACTATTATTTTGGTCTGGTGCACAATCTCGGGAGCAAAAGTTACTTTTTTAAGTTATATGTTCGTCAGAACTTGAAATAAATGTGGGTTAAGGTCTAGTTGTTATTTAACTCTTAGAGCAGTTTTCTGCCGGTTGATGTAAATTTCAAAAATGCTGCCAACTTTGAAATTTTCTCTCTTAAAGTTAACTATAAAGCTAACTATAACGACAAATTTGAGCCGAGCTGTGTTAGAAAAAAAAAGGGTTCGTTTCAATTTGAATTTTGGTATTAAAGTATTGTTTTAAAATATTTTCCCCCGGCTTTCTTATTAAAAATTTGATATATCAATCCTCCTTTAAAGGGATTTATTATTTATTAATTTTGGTGTTTACTTCATTATTTTTTTATATTGGAACCAACGGTATTTAATTGTACATATATCCTTCTAATAAGTGGACGAGGAAGTCCTTTTCTTGGTAAAATATCACTGTTTATAATGCAATATATATATATATATATATATATATATATATATAGGTACAAACCCATGCGAACCTTGGTATATAATGATTCATTCAGGATTAGAATTAGGAATAAAATTAATGTATTCAACCAATTAAGCTATTAAACTACAAAACTAATTTGTTCAAGAAATCAGTAAACTTGAATTGTAGTAGTCCGAAAGGCAATCGCGTGGGTAATTAGCAGGAAATCGCCTGCTCTAGCGTAGCAGCCCTTCCTGTTGGCAAAAACATAGCAAGAGCGCTCTCACACAATCTGGATTCAAGTTTGGTGATGATTAGACGACCGTGATCTCAGGCAGGTGATTTTGTTTTCTGCAATGTTCGGCCCAACACTTCCAACCAGAATCTTACACAGAGCCTTCCATGACCAATCTCCGTACCGTTATGCCTATCACCCGCATAATCTCGCCAAAAACCCCTCGCCACAATTCAAATCCCAACTGTTCCCCCAAGCACCTCTGTCTTTCTCTCTTCAACTCCATCTCTACAATGCGCCAGCTCTTACAAATCCATTCCTACCTCCTCACTTCCGGTCTTCTCTTCACTGATAAATTTCTGGTCAGCGAAACCCTCCGTTTCTGCTCTCTTCACCCCTCCGGCGACCTCTCCCACGCCCGAGCACTCCTACTCCGCTGCCCGACCCCCATGTCCTCATCATGGAACCATGTTATTCGAGGACTTTGTTTTAATTCATTCTCAGCTGATGCAGTTGATGTTTTTCTCGAGATGCGCCGCCGGCAGGAGGCGACGCCTAATGAGCTAACTTATCCGTTTGTAATCAAGTCGTGTAGTGAGCTGCAAGACATTTGTGTTGGACGGCAAGTTCATGCCGATTCTATCAAAAATGCTGTGGAATCTGTTGTTTATGTCGGAAACACGTTGATGCATTTGTATGGGTTTTTTGGGGAGGTCCATGATGCACGAAGGATGTTTGATCTAATGTCTCAAAAAACCTTGATTTCGTGGAACACAATTTTAAATGTTTATGTTGGTAGTTTGATGATGGAAGAAGCGATGGAAATCTTTGGCAAGATAATAGATAGTAACTTGGTGCTGGATCATACAACCTACCTCATTCTTCTTTCTGCTGCTTCTTTGATGGGGAGCTTGGGGCTTGGAATGTGGGTTCATAGCCAGATCATTTATAGAGAGATTGAAGCTTGTATGAAGTTAGGCACGGCACTAGTGCACATGTATGCAAAATGTGGAGCTCTGGATTTTGCGTCCATGAAATTTGAAAGAATGGTAGTGAAAAATGTATGGACTTGGACTGCTATGATTCTCGGTTTTGCTCAACATGGTTGTGCCCATGAGGCACTCAAGCTATTTAAGAAGATGAAGAAATCTTCAATTGAGCCCAATTATGTGACATTTCTGGGAGTGCTCTGCGCTTGCAGCCATGCAGGATTGGTAGAAGACAGCCATCGATTCTTCCATGAGATGGCTCATGTTCACAACATCAAACCTGAGATGTCACATTATAGTGCCATGGTTGATGTGCTTGGACGGAAAGGTCTTCTTCTTCAAGCTTACAATTTTATCAAAAATATGCCTTTGGATCCTGATGCTGTGGTTTGGAGAACTCTGCTCAATGCTTGCCAGCTACACATTAATGGAGATGGCCATAGTGTTGGAGAGGCTGCAATGAAGGTTTTGCTTGAGCTTGAGCCGAACAGATGTGGGAACTATGTGATTGTTGCCAACATGTATTCGGAGCTCGGATCATGGGAGGAGGCTGCTAAGGTTCGAAGGATAATGAGAGAAGAAGGATTGAAGAAGATAGCTGGAGAGAGTTGCATTGAGATTAGTGGGTCAAATTATAGGTTTCTATCTGGGTATGATTTTTCTATTGAGAGTAAGGGAATTTATCAATTGATATATGGGATGAACTTGAACATGAAAAAAATTGAGCTTGCAGATTTTGATACTTTTATACAACTTCAAAATCTTTTGTTTGAAAATTGAAATCTCTTGTGCATACATGTGCTTGGAAACATAGTTGTTGCTTTCATATAATTCCGACACCTGGGGTACGTATGAAATTAATGAATTATTAATATGGAGTGTCAGGAATGAGGGTTTCTTGACGAGTCGAATGATTTTAGTTGGTTGAAAGATAGATGGAAAGCCAACATTGAGCAGTGAAGCTTGGAATTCCTGTTAAAACTCTTGCTAACGACTAGCAGTGATTATGGAAAATAGCTTAATTGCTACTTCGAAGGCTCCATTGCAGATGTATCCGGTAATCTTTTTCATCCTACTATAGATGCAATTAATCAAGGATTAACCTAATACAAGGACATATTAGCATTTTCATTGTGCTATTTATGTTTTAGATGAAAAATAACTAGTAGTATTCAATACAAAAGTAATTATTATTCTTATTTTTCCACCCATGCAAAAAAAAAATCTTGTAATCATCAATATTATTCTTATTATTATAGATCTCAGTAAAATTTTCCATTTGCTTTTCAGCGTATTATAACTATGTCTAATTAAAAAATATGGAAACTGTGATTAAACTTGTTGGGAACATAAAAAACCCTATCTTATGGGTGTATTTTTAGGTGCAATTTACTCATTTTAGAGTCAATGGAGTTGAAACTATACTTAATTTTTAATTCAAAAATTGTTTCAATGATTGAATGAGCTCCAAGCGATGCAAATTTGCTAGCAAAATGACTTGCTAATGGAGACAATTCCTATGAAAATCCATCCACATCAACCATGAAACTCCTAAAACAAAATCATCTTCAAAAATAAACTCCAAGAGCTCATTTATTGATGTGAAATCTGGATGGTATATACATGCTTTTAGAACCTTACTTAAGCATGATTAGAGCCTTCAAAGCTCATGGGATGGAAATGAAAAGACATTTTGAACTTGATCCTAGTTGCACCGCCGGCTCTAATCACTCGTTAAAAGGGTGGAAAACCTAATGCCTGAGGTATGGTAAACCGAGTAAATTAAATCTAAACAGAATATAATAACTTGAAATTAAATTTTATATGGACAAAGGGAGGGATTTCAAATCATCCATCAATTATGATTTTACTTTTCTGTCTGGCTACATTATCATTGTAAGCCCAACAGCTGAGGCTCCATTTTCAAATACTAGTTTACAGTCATCTATCATGTAGCTAACATATTTTATAAGGCTTCATTTCAGATTGTTCTTCAGCTGTTCTTAATGCTTGAAAATATATATTGATAGATGCTATATTATCTGTACATTTTTATTTGGCCTTAGAGTTTTGGGAAATACATTTCTGATTAAATATAGAATAATTTTAT